GGCTCGAACTCACGAACTGTGAGATCATGACCTGAGTGGAAGTGTGACTGACGCTCAACCTACTGAGCCACCCAGGCGCCCCAGGAGGCAAATGTCTTCAGGGGCAAATGTGCAAGCGTCTGGGGAGACAGGGATGTAAAGAGCCATATACTTGCTTCCAGGTGGAGGCGTGGCTTTCCAGGCCCACTTCCCCCCACCCCCAAATTCCCCACAAGGACAGACTGGAGTAAGGATTCTGCCAGGTGTGACACACGCCCATCCTTCTCTTGGGTTATCTTCTGCCTGTCCCTAACTGCTACCGCCACCTGCAGGTGCAGAGGAGTAGTGCAGTGCCGCTGGGCCCACTGAGGAGCCCGGGTGACGAGGCCCCCAGCGTTGGGTGTGGGAAGGCCCGCTGGTGGGCACTCAGTGAGGGGCTGCTGGGGCAGGATACAGGATCCACCGTGAGCCCCAGGAGTTCGGACTTCTGTGACTGCCACCTGCTGGAGGGGGATAGTGTTGTCCCGTCCGTCACTGGGTCGCCAGCAGGCCTGCCTTCCTGGCTCTGCAAAGGGGCGTGGATGGTGGCGATGATGCCACAGTGGTGTGGTGAGGAGTTTGCGTGTGTGTGTGTCGTGGGCACAGTGCTTAATGACTCAGCCTCAGTTTCATTCATTCGGTAGAACGGGGTTGCTGATAGCGGCTTTCAGGTTTTTCGTGGTAGGCCAAATGACAGACATGAGCGCTGGATGGAGATGCCAGCTGCTGAGGTTCTTGACCACAGTTGCAGGCCTCGGCCTCCTAGACCACAGCTGTACCGTAGGAGTGACAGAGGCAAGTGCCGAGTCCCGCCCAAGTGAGGTGGCCAGGGCAGGCTTCTTGGAGGAGGGGTCTCACGAGGCAGGCGTTAGAGGAGGGAAGGGAAGTCGTGGCAGGGCCTGCCCTCGTGTAGATGGGAAAGGTGGTGGGTCCGCTGAAGGGCAAGTGAGGGTAGGACTGGGTATGGAGGGCACAGCTGGCAGAGGTGAGCAGGTGAGGTGGGCAGAAAGTTGGCTCTCAAAGGTGGAAGGGGTTTCCCTCTGTCCAAGAGGATGCCAGGGGCCAGTCGGGACCCCACGGAGTTCCTCCCCTGGTCTTCTCTTGCTCACACTTGTGGGAGGCTGTGGATGCTGACCTGGGTGGCAAACCCCTTTGCCGGCAGGATGTGCTGAACCCCTGGGCATGAAGGACAACACCATCCCCGACAGGCAGATCACGGCCTCCAGCATCTACAGGACCTGGGGCCTGAATGCCTTCAGCTGGTATCCCTTTTACGCGAGGCTGGACAAGCAGGGCAAGTTCAACGCCTGGACCGCCCAGACCAATGATGCCTCTGAGTGGCTGCAGGTGGGTCAGGATGCAGGGCAAGGGCAAGGGCTGGAGTTGGGCTGCTGATCATTGACCCCCTCCACCCCAGGCTTCTGCTCCCCAAGAGGGAGGGTCTGAAAAAGCCTGGTTTTCCTTCTGCTTTTTTTCTCCCACATGCCCTACCTTCTCCTGATTCTGCAATTCCAGAGGGGGAGGGTGGGGGAGTTCAGGGCTATTTCCACGAAGGCCCCAAGCCCCAGGCACAGAAAGGACGTGTGTGTGTGTGTGTGTGTGGCAGTTGGGCCATCTCCACCAGCTGCTCCAGGGTGACAAGGCTGAGCCCATGGACAGTAGGGGACAGAGGAGGGCCATCTGACCCAGGCAGGCTCACCCCAGGATTTCTCTGACTTGGCGTGTGAGGACACACTGTGGGGCAGCCCTTGGATTTCAGGAGATTGGGAAGCATGAGGGTCACAGAAAACCAGACTCTCTGCTCACTTTATAGACGAGGAAACAGTCCTGGCAGGGCAAGGGTTTGCCTGGGCCTCACCTGCTGCCACCCGGGCATTGGGACTGCCTGTCCGGGTACAGAAGGCAGGCTCCCCAGGGTGGGCAGGGACTGGGGGGGGGG